TCCACCAGCGCCGCCGCCGCCGCCTTTCTACTTCTTCCTCTTCCTCTTCTTCCTCTTCCTCTTCTTCTTCTTCTTCTGCGGGCTCCAAGGGCTGAGTCAGTGTGTTCTGGCGCTCCCCCTGAGTCCCTCAGATGCTGCTCGCTCCCCCCGCCGCTGCTGCTGCTGCCGTTGCTGCTGCTGCTACTGCTACAGCCCTCTGGAGGCTGCAAAACTTTCTAACTTCCAACAAAACTCTCCTGTATGAGTGCCCGTGACGTTACTGTTGTTAAGCAGAGATCAAAGCGCGAAGAGAGAATGCGAAAAAGAGGGGGAGAAGGAGCGAAGCCAAAAGCAGGGGGCCGAGCCGTAAAGCCATCCCATAGGCTTCAAGTCCTTCCCCTTTGCTTAGCTGAACAGACGCAGGGCTAAATTTTAATGCAAATGCAAATGAGGACAAGGACTCGCTTTCTTTTCTTTTCGCTCTCTTTTTAGGGGGAAGGAGCGAAGTGGTGGGGGAAGCCCAAATTGCTCCCCCCCCCTCCCCGATCAGGCAGAATTTCTTAAAAATGGAGAGGGCTCCGCGAGGCGAATGATGAATGAGGCTAGGCCACACACAGGCATGTTGGGGCAGAATATGGGCTGGAAGACGGGCTCCGGGTGCCTTTTTTCAAGGGAAGGCACACCACCGCCCCGGTTTCGCGGGAGCACCAGGACCTGGATAGCTAAGTTCTGATTTTTCCTTTCCCCCTCCTTTTTTTATTAGAACCCCGCCATTTTCAGGAAAAGGTTCGGAATGAAAGGGCGGTAGTTGTCAGAGTTTCCCCCTCCGTGGATTAGCACTCCCGGCGATCCAGAATGTTTGCTTTGCGCTTATGTATCTGCTTGCTCTCCTCTAATGTTGAAGGCGACCACCCTGTTCCTCAGCGCAACCCTCCGCGGTGCCGGGGGACTGAGCTTGCACAAGGCTGCGCTCGAGCTCCAGGATGTCACTCTGCTCCTTGCAGGAGGGCATCTCGCCCGCGGTGGCCCGAAGCAGCGTTATGGCCCCAGCAAGGGCATTTGCTTGGTGAGACAGGAGGAGGGGGGCATTCATTCCCCCACCACGCACCAACTACCCAGTGAAAATCCAAGCGTGGTTTGAGCAAGATGGTGGCTACTGTTTCTGGACGCGAGAGAGGAAGACGAAGTGCGGTCTCATTTTGCCCCCTAGATTCAGGTCCCGTGCAAAAACCCAGGGGAACGTTCTCATTCATTCATTTCAATGGGACGGTCTGGTTTTACTTCTACCATGAATTATACAGGCGGATGCATTCCGCAAACATTTTTTAGAAAGCACGTGGCAAGTAGGTTCGCACGCCGGTGGTGGAGCAAGATTCAGCTCTTCGAGTTCAATATGTTCAGGTCCCCAGTGTTTCAAACACGCAAAATTAATAAAACTTTCTTCTCTTTCACCTATTAGTTTCAGGGAATAAAAGGTTTGGAATAATCCCTGGGAGTGGGAATTCTAGGTAAGTCCAAAAAATGCCATGCTTAATATTTCTCTCAGCAAAACTGCCTTTAAAGACCCCGGATGCCCAAGTGTTCATTTGAATTCGCAAATCGTCAACCTCCAAACGCAGTTCACACTTCGAGAGTTGCTACTTTCTTTGTATATGATATTATGCCCTTTGCCCATGTGGCGCCCAATCCTCCTCCTATTTACTTCTATGTCAAGTCCCAGTGAGGTTGACTCTGAAATAAAAGGGCACAAATGCAGTTCTCAGGCAAGGCTGCTTATGATTATGCCTCTGTGGGAGCAAAGTTCTAGGGCGGATTCTGCTCCTTTACTATTAGCAGTATGTTCCACTTTATCTGGTGGGGCTTTCTCCCTCGTAAATGCCTAGATCCCAGCCTGACCTTCCCCACGCTTGGGTTGTGTGCACGCATGTATCTATACGATACTTCCAAGGGTTATTTCTGTGCATTTCTGTTTTAGCATTCTAGGGAAAGCGCAGCCTCGCCTTTAGAAATGTTAAATAAACTCCCTGCAAATTCTAGACGCCTTGACATATAAACATAAAGGATATCTCTCTGCATAATTCCTGACCTCTGTCCCTCCCCCTTAAAGCATTAACATTAGGAAAGGAAGCTACCTCTGCTCTTGATCCAAGTGTTTGCGGCTCCAATTTTTATTTCTTAATTTACTTTTTGTAAATAATAGTCGGTCAATAACCAGCTACGTGCACTTTCCCTCTTCCAAACAATATTTGCTTTGTAAAATCGGTTCCCCTTTCCAGTGCTTTTTTTTTTTTTTGGAAAAAGGAACACGGTGAGAGCAATGTTATTTCTTCATTCATAAAAATGTGCATCGGTGTGGCAGGAGACCTGAATTTATGAGACGGAGTAGTATCAGCTACAGCTTTTCCGGAGCCCCCCTTATACCATCACCCTCCAGCTGAGACGCCTGCCCAGAAAGATCGGCTTCTGCTGCGTGTGGCAATATTGCAGGGGCGAGATCGCCCACTTAAAACAAAATTGGCTCTAATTCCTGGAGGGAACTCCCCCCCTCCCCAACTGGGCTCCAATACAAGAGGAAACTGGAATTAGCATAAACCAATAGGGGAATAGATCTGTTACCAGGCGGATCAGGCAGATCTGAACTAGGAACTTGTTTGATTTCTCTGACAAGACGAAAGGGATTTGGTCAAAAGTGCCAGAACTACTGAAAAACGTGAAAGCTTCCCTTCCCCAAAGGGTAGGAAACTTGTCTGGAACTCTCATTCCGCTGTTGCATTTGTCTTTCTTGCCTGTTCTTTGTTAAAGATCAAAAGAGAAACATGGGTCGAGGCATGCTTTTTCTTTAACGGAGACACAGTGGACTTTTTTATAAACGGCGGAGCCAAGCGCTGTGCACACGTGCAGTTCTAAAGCTCGTTCAGGGACCAAAGTGGAACATCTGGGTGTCAGTCCTTGCGCGATGCGGAGGCCAATTATGTGGCTGCCTCTATTCCAGAAATTTACGAATTGGTATTTGTCCTTTAATTCTCTTATGTAGTTAGAGAATCGTGGGAGAATGCCAAAATGGGGTTCCTTTGCTATCTCTCCCTCCTCCCCCGATTTCTTCTTGGGCTATTTTTCTACTTCAGGAGAAAGAGCAGCCAGCAAATACCATTTCCCCATGACGGTCCAGTGATCTCTGCTACTTGAAGGCGCGTACTTTTGCCTCGATCCCCAGCGACGGGAACCAACCTTCTTTTGTTTGTAAGAATGCAATAAATTAAACAAACCACTTCCCACATGTGTAGGTGGAACCTCACCTTGAGCTAGATACCTGATGGGCAACTTTAAAGGCGTCTCCCCCCGCTTTTCTCCTCCCACCCTCACCTCTGCTCAATGTTTTCCATTGTTAAATCTTTCCATAAAAAAATATGCAGCTCCTTCAGAGCTCACGTTCGATTTCACATGGGGCTCCTAAAGCACGCGCGTAGTTCATTTTTCATCCCCGGTTTAAAACACCCCCCCCCCACACACACACACAGAGGTAAACGATGAGTGATTTCAGCGTTTCTATACCTCGTGGTGGTGACGAGGGCTGGGGGAGAGAGCTTTTCGTTCTGTCAATACCCGACCCCCTCAATAAATATTAGCTGCAGACGGGGGTCTCCTTCAGAGTAAAAGGTACAGAAGGGACAGGGATCCCGAATTCAGGAGGACTGACTCGGATACCAACCCGACTGGGGGCGATCGTCCACGCCAATTCCTCCACCTTCCAGCAGGCTAAACCTAGGGCTACTCTTGCTTCCCTCGCCGAGGAGGCACGCTGAGCAGCTCTTTCGCACACACCAGCCTGTTTACTGGGAAGTAAGCACCTGTGCCTAACGGGGCTTGCTCCTAGGTCAGCTTAGGTGGGCTCAACAGCCACGAGGCATCAAACTGCGAGAGGAGTACTGATGATCTAGATCCACAAGATAGGGATCGGGGAACCTTGCGCCCCTCCCACTCTCTCAACGCGTAAAAGAAGCGGACACTGTTCAGGAACAGCAGTGTTTGGTTAGATCTTGTCTATCGGCTGCCTTGTACCTTGAACGGGCTACAGGCGGTGTGTATTTCTGAGGTTGCCTACCACACCGCGGCGCGCGCATTTCCTCCCAGCCTTCAGTGTTTCAAAGCATCGTGCCAACCGAGTTTCTCTCGGTCCCTGTCTCCAACCCAGTATTTAACGCGTGAAATCTTAATTTTTTCGCTTCTTTTCTCTCTCTCTCCCCCCCTCCCCCGCTTCGTGAGCGTGTGTGCAGGGGCTGCACGTTTCCCCTCTCCCTGTGAGAAATGCTATATTCGATCTGCTTCCCCTGTCTTTGCATGGATTGGATAAGAGCAACATCAGGAAGTTGGAACTTCTGCGTGAAGAAGAATCTTGCAGGCAGTTTCTCATGATGTAATCAGCATTCCACCCCCTCCCCCGCTTGCCTCGCTTTCTAAAAAGTATATATGCAGTGCAACCCCTTGCAAATAGGGAGGGGGCGTCAGAAACTAGAAGGAGTTATCTGTTGCTGTGCCGGAGAGGTGTGGTTAGATCTTTTCTCTCTCAGCCTCCTGGTCTCGAGAAAGGAAGC